AGAGAGCACATCGTGATTTTTGAGTGTGAACAAAAACATCCCATACCCAACAAATGGTGACCCCCGGAGTGACCCACTCACACAGGATGGAGGAGAAACAGATCACGCTCCCAGTCTTCAAGCAACATGGAAGACTGGCTTATCCACACAGAGGCAGCTCTCATCGGCTCTACAGCTACTGTCTCTATACCGCAGGTTAGACACCCTGGAGCAGCACTACTTCTCTAAGCAGACACCAGCTCCTCTTCCTGCCCCAAGCACCACGTCCTACCGACCCCAACACACCCGTCCTGCCTCAGACGCCGCCCCCGGCCCAGAAGTACCCCCTGCCGCTCATCCCGAAGCGGCCCCTGCTCCTGACGCGGACCCACAAACCCCTCTTTTCTCCCTCAGGTACTCCTTGCTACTGTCCTGCACCCTGCTGCTGTCGTGGACCCAGCTGCTGTCACGAGCCCTCATCCGCTTCTGCTGACGCAGCCCTTGCTCCTGACCCAGGCCCAAACACCCCAGCAGGCGCATCTGACGACTCTGTACCTGTCGCGAGTGAAACACAACATTTATCGCCTCCACACACCCTCTTTCTCCCTCTCTTCTCCCACAGATATTGTGTATCTAGACAGTTGTCTCTTCTAGCGGCCGGCTCATCCACGCCCTGCCGTTATGTCCCACATGAGGCATGCACCGCCCGTTCTGCCTCACATGTGCCATGCAACCCTGCAGACAACAAGTCTCCTACACCGCCTGGAGAGGAGGGAGTATTGTAGTGGATTTCTCCCCTACAAACGCTGTTTGTCGCTGAGTAGCCGACCCCACGAATTCCACCGTGTGTGCCTCGTGGTCTAGGTCAACCAGCGCCGCCATACATCACGGAGGTCAACTACTAAGCCACGCCAACACCCGCTATTTAAAACCTGACCTCGTGGTGATCTCTCTCTTTCTACCTACACCAACCAGCCAGCAACACCTCCTCCTCCTCCTTCGCCGCTGCCTGGCAGCCCTCGCTCCCGTCGGCGAGCATGGCGACCCACAAGCTGTCCTCCTCTGAGCATCCTCACCAACCAGCTCTCTCTACATCACGCTTGTAACCATGCTGCCTTCCCAGCACCAAGCTGCATTGTACATCCAATACAACATGTATACAGAGAGCACATTGTGAGTTTCCTTTCTCCATCCCATCCTGAGTGTGAACCAAACATCCCATACCCCACAATACAGTATGTTGACTTAGGAAACAGTCCTGAACTGTTTAAAGAAAATCCTCCGATTCAGAGTTACCCGGACAGCATAAGCGCCGATGCGGTCCGGTCGCATGATTTCAAGTCCAGAAAAAGCCTCAAATTAAACCATATAGTAAGTTCTTTAGCTAGGTTGATTAGGTCTGTTTTTCATACCCACAAAGGTTAAGTTACGTTTATTTTAGAAATAACCATTTTCAACACATTTGCACAAACTACAAGTGTCCACTGTAAAAAACAGTGAAAATCCATAGTTTTTAAAATCGTTTTCTAGCAATTTCGGCTGTGGGTTAGTCATGAATTATTACCCCTTTTCAAAAACGACTTATATCCTATGGAAAATGTCAGATCTGAACAAAACACATCAAAATACATTAGAAATCAAACATCTCCTGAAAAAAATCGAGGGTGTGATAAAACGAATAATTACCAAATGCTGACGTAATAAAATAACAGAGCGTTATCAAAGACTGACCTGAGTCTTCCACAGGTGGACGGTCTTGAAACCAGGTCTCATGGGGTTGTCATTAATGTCATCAACAATAATGGTGATAGGGTGAGTAGCAGCCAGTCCACCAGCATCTGTCACCACTATCTCGGCTGCCAGCTGACGGTGCTCCTCTCTATCCAATGGCCCCATCGTCCAAACCTGAGCTCCACCGCGCCCACTGTCTAAACCTGTCCACATATATACATACAGTGGTATATAAGCTGACACTGAAGAAAAAATAGACATGACTTATTTGTCTTTGGAATTTATATTATTTGTAACAAAACCAGAAGCTTCTGGGCAGTATAACTTGTTGCATATTTTTTATATTTTATTTAAAATTTTACAATTTACATATATACATAAATGTTATAGGCTATGGCACACATTCGTACTACACGCTATGAAATTATTCAGCGGTAGGACAACATGTCACACAATCTGTACTCACTCAGAAGGTAGACTTCACCGCATGAAAAGATTAGCAATTCACAAATTTTACATAGTAGGCTCTCGCCAATAACGACTTCCACAATAACGTTTTCGACAATAACGGTAAGTTACAATAGATACCCATTTTCGATAATAACGTCTGGATTCTCTTGAATAACGGAAATTTCGCGGGAAGCGTCCGAGCGCATCAATGATAGCATTTGTTTGCCGCCATGTTGATGACATAGTTGTCCACTCCGCCTCACTCTCACTGTCACACACGCTCAGTGGAATACAGCGCTGCGCCAACGTGCGAGATTTTCGCCACTATAACCAGTGGTTGTTAGGGTCAGTGATCAATAATGGCTTCCGCATTTTTGCCTGTGGAGGCTAGGGGAGGTGGTGGAGGGAGTGATTTGCCACCTGAATGACTGGGAACTTTTAAAGTGAGGAAATTGAACTGTCCTGAGTCTACAGTGCGAAATATTAAGAGGAACTTAGAGGAGACCAAGAAGAGTATTGTGCTGGCTAAAAATATTTCGGTAGTGATGGAAATGCGAGGCGAGCTATGAATGATAAAGGCGATAGAAACGGGTTGTTAGTGATAACAGAGCATTTTCTTGTGAAATGGTTAGCCTGTAGATTGAAGGACAGTGCAAGTGTTAGCGGCCCTCAGATATGGAACAATCATCACACCAAGCACCTCAAGAACTAAGTGTTATATTACTCAAACTCTTTATTTTGATGATTGAATAGCAATTCTTTTTATTTCAGCTAACAAAAAGTGTTAGGAGGGCTTCAAGGGGAAAAAATGGGTGAAATTCTTGTGGCAGCGGCACCAATAAACCCTTTTTACATGTACTTTTAATGTCACACAAATAACGTTTTCGCTAATAACGGTGTTTTTCAGGCACCTGTTCAACGTTATTGGCGAGAGCCTACTGTATTATCAAAGTAAAATCTTGTTTGAAAATAGAACTTACATTTCCTGTAAATATGTCTATTATGATGGCTGAAGGTCATGAGCTATAGGGTGTGAAGTTAATTACAAACGTAGACAACATAAAATATACAAAACCAGAAAAAACAACATTCAGGAACTTTATGATTTTTATTATATATTAAAGGATTCAATATATACTGCACAAAAATACCCTGGTAATTCATTTTTTTGCGTCTGTCTCTTACGGATCTTAATAAAATACTGTTTACAGAAATCTGATTATATGAAACAAATGTGAAAATAAAAGTTAAGGGATAGAAGTAAACAGCGAAGTGCATCATTTTTGGCTGGCGAACCACACGTTTCTTCATACTAGCTAACATTGTTCGTGTGCCAGCCAACAACGCTAACACACTACAAGTACACGATATTTTAACGAGTCATCGAAACCGCTACCCTAAATTTGGTACCATTCAAGTCACTATCATTATGTATGAGGATGAGAAAACAATTTACATATTATAGTCTTTTATTTTATTACAACTCGTTTTTTTTTCAGTTCCGTCTCCTTCCTAATTGCTAGATATTTGTTGTTCTTGGCAAGAACTACATAAATAATATCATGAAGAGCGATATTTAAATTAAACTGACCTAATTATTTCACAAATTGTTTTGTAGTATTCACTGAAAAGTCATACTGTGCTTTAACGAAAAAGAAATAGTGCCCTAACGAGAGGAAGAGACCAGTTCTTTAACACGAGGAGTAATTCTTAAACGAGGGAAAGAAAGGGAGAGAGAGAGACTTGTGTTCAACGAGGAAGAAAGGGAGGGAGAGTTTTGTTCTAGAGAGAAAGATGAAATACTTTAATGAGTGAAACAGGTCAGTGACGCTGTAACGAGGGGGTCAAAAAATAATATTCAAGTTAAAATCATCGCCTAATATCCACCATCACACCAATAACCTACAACAACTTCTTAAGATCTTGGGGATTTCCTCCTCCTCTCATAATCATATTCTCCAGGAGAGTGGAGACGGCTGGTAAATAGAGAACCTCCTGTTTTATACACCTCGGCTGTGATTTCATTAGGCCCGGAGGCTTTGTTATTTATGGCAGTAGCTACCTCATCATGGAATAGAGGATAGCTGAGGTGGGTCAGTTCTGGGTGCTGAGGGACCTGCTGGGTAGTGAGGACACCCACATCGGTGTGTCGGTTGAGCAGCGAATGGTAACACACACATACACACCTGCAGCACCAACATATCACAAACGTATGCAGGGCTGCCGCTCATCCGACTGTCTGTATTCTATCGCGTTTTTTTAAGGTAATTAATAGTTCTTTGTAGATAACTTTCAAATGACGAGGTATGACTTAAATATTTTGAGCACTATGAACACGTCCAATAAAAGGCAAAGAGAAAACACAATGCAGGGGCAGTATTGTCTTCAGGCATTTTTGTATAGTAAAATGTAATTACTATTGACTTCAGAATATTTCCAAATATCAAGTGCACATGCCCTATATATGGACCCCCCTTTTGGTATTCCTGGATCCGCCCCTGCAATGTTTGAATTAGTGTTGTTTAATGAGCACACACACACACACACACATATATATATATATATATATATATATATATATATATATATATATATATATATATATATATATATATATATATATATATATATATATATATATATATATATATATATATATATTATGTAAAAATCAGTACTTCATTTATTAATTACATCAATCAGTTGTTGTACAATACATCCGCGATATTGACATTCATACGACCCCCCTTTACACTTAGCATATTCTTCCATAGTGATAAGGGCATTTAGTTTTGCAATGCCAAAACGTCCAACGCAAATCTTCCAATTTCATCACATTTAAGGTTCCTATCATTATCTTTCAATTTCATTAATTTCTTTTAGAAATTTAAAATATCCAAACTTATTGTTTCGTCATCTATTGTCTCCCAGAATAGCCTTTGCCACTGATCCTTTAACTCCTAAATGATTCCATTAAATATCCTTGATACCAATTCAACCAAGTCTGACAACGATGTTCTTGGAATCATTGGATATAGAGCTTTTTGGGGATTAAGGCTATTTTTCATTAAGGGATCAGTGATATTAAGCCTCTCTTTAATTTATGTGCACATTACCTTCAAAAAGTTTTTGCGTCTCATATTGACATCTAATATTATGGTTCGATTTTGTGCAAAATCCGGTCTATTTTTATATAGTTGGGTAATTTCTTTCTTTATTATTATACGGTATTTAGAGAACCATTTAAGTGAGGGGTTTATGAAGTTATCAAAATTTAGATTAAGGTTCCATGAATTTGGTAAATGGAAGCGTTTATTAATCTAACCAGAACAAACAGAAACTATGCTGTATGAGGCAACGATGATAAATGTTTTAGTAACTTTAGTCATCAGAAGAAAAACTAATTAATCTGCACCTTCTCTACAGTGAGAGAGAAAAAAAAGACAGATTTTCCAAAGATGGCAAATCAGGATCTCGGGTTGGAACACTTCCCCCAAAAAACCCGAAACAGTGTTGAAAAACTAAATGAAATGAGGTTCACCGAGCGAGCCATGACGGGATTTCAATTTTAGTTAAAGGAGAAATATGGTAACTGGGGTAAGGTGGAAATGGAGTAAGATGGTAATGGAGTAAGGTGGTGGCTAATGGAGTATGGTGGTAACTGGAGTATGAGGCCAAATGGAGTAAAGTGGTTAAGTGGAGCCAGGGTAAGGTGGTCACTCAGTTTAGCTCTTTGGTTTCATCTGTGTAAATTTCCCCAAGACCAGTTACTGCTTTAAACACAATGATGTTATTAGACAGACAAACGGATAAAGCCACAAACTGAACAGATAGAAGACTTAAGGTAAAATGATGATACCAAGTGAGACAGCAGACAGTGGGGCACTGTGGACAATAATTGACCTTTCACATGATACTGTACACGTTGCTCTGCAACAATGGCGGCTCCATTGGCTATTACTTTACATCTTTATGAATTAACGATATGCAGTAATTGTACTAATATATGAACTAAAAATCTGTGGTTTCATCTACAATCCTATAACTAATCAAAACGTTAAGAAAATAAAACCAGCACGTTTACACATTAGTCATGAAAATGGACAAAAACCGATGTTCCAGATAAACAGTGAGACTACACTATTGTGAATTGCTCCAATACACCCTGGTCCTCTTCAGACACCACCTATTTTTCACCCAACTGACTGAATGTTTGGATAAATGATGGATCTATCAGCATCAACTTATATGGTCAGAGTATTCTTGAGGTTCTTGATGTTCTCACGTGTGGGCTGACGGGCCAGTGCTTGGAGGATGACTGACAGGGCTGTCAGGGACACTGCCCTTTGCACTCTCAAACTGCTCAATGAGAAGTCGCTCAAGGGCCTCCAGCAAAGTCTTCAGTACATACAACCTTCGATTATAAAGTTTTCTTTCCAGGACCTTTGTGATGAACCCACTAGCACACAGATTTGCTTGAATGATGATCTGTTCCAGCCACTGCCTTCCATGTACTTGAATATTACACCAAAGTAGGCACACATAGTGCAAGATATACCTAGTCGGTTGAACACCTTCTGAATCTTATCTCCATATTGCCATGTCCTCTTGTAGGCTATCATTGTAGCAGCTAAATCAAAGGTAATGATTGTCCAACTTTGGTGCAAAACTTTCGCTATGGATTGTGCTTGTACGAGGCATTCATGAATCGTGCTGTTCACAGTGATTGGCGCGTTTATTGGTGGCAAATACTTCATAGTTGTAAGAACCTCCACGCCTCTGACTCCAGTTCAGGACATCCAAACTTTCCATCCAGGCACTATTTGTAAGGGGACACTTGACATTCGACGACACAGTATCCACAGCGTATCAGACTGAGCTGCCACAATCACGTCGTCACTTATATCCAAGGGTATATTTATTTTTGGTGGTTCAGGCTTCTTCTTTACATAACATGGATGTAGGCCTTTCTGTTCACGTGGAGCTGATCTTGCTTTGGTCTTCGGGATACTGACTGTCTCCCAAATTGGCTCCTCCATGCCTTCTATGGCAAGCTTCTCCTGCAATATCAACCCATGTGTACTGTGTGTAGTGTCTCGTACAGATGGTGTCTCTTCAGTGAGGTCGAAATTGTCAAAACAGAAATGGACCAAATTGTTGAGTGTTACTTTGTATGGGGGGAGAGGGCCAGTATGGTCTTTCACACTTAGATCACTTAGATATACAGCAGTTACTATTTCCAGCACTTTTGTATAGGAGACACTGTGCCCAAACCGGTTGAGAAGGGTGATAACTTCTGCTTGCCCTGTCAGATGCCACAGAGATACACCAAGCATACTATGCTTGGAGGTCATCCATTGTCCATTAGTGATTGCATACATTATGTCATGTGACAGTGAGGTTGCCACTCTCTGCTTTTGGTCTGATAACTGTTTCTCTCCAGACAGAAGGGACTGTATAAAGCGCAACAAATGTTGGGGCGGAGTTTGGTCACGTAAGGTGTGACCAGGAGGTGGTGGCCATGGCAGCTCAAATGACTTTGCATGGTCTTGCACTTCTCTCCTCAAAATGAGTGCTGCTTCTTCAAGGATCCTTGAGTCTGAGGCAGCAGCTTCGAATGCAGCCTCTACCCAGTCTACTGCCTTACCTTGTGCAATGTTGGACGAATACTCCAATTCACTGCTGTGGTTTGGTTGCCAGAATTCAACAGAGCAACCAAAATGGTTGATTAACTTTGCTTGAGTTTACATGTTTTGTAATCTGGATTGTAAAACTGTGAATGGTGACTTTGCAGGTACTGAAGATATATATCTCGTAACATTGTGATTCGTTCGACATTACATGCTTGGATGATCTGCTTCTCGACATGTTCACATATATGCTGGAACGCAGCTTCATGGGCAATTAATGCTTCTTTGGCATGAGCCTCCACACTAATGATACTGGTAGATACTATTATCGATTGGAGCCAATAGGCAAAGTGAATAAAAAAAATATCGCATATATGCAGTTATTATGCGATACACGTAAGGGAACAGCCGCCCACGAGATGAAAATATAGTTAGTATTTATGATCTCATCGGTCTTACTGAAACCAATTGATATTATCAATGACTTTGAGGTATTGTAGTGTACTATATCACTCAAAGGGAGATAAATTCTTTTAGCTTATAATGTCCACATTTTGAATACAATAACCAGAATCAGAGAGTTTCCAGATTCTGAAAATTATAACCTGTGTTAGTACTCATTTGGCACCTACTGTAATAGATGGTGATGAGGTGGGCGTGGTTGGTACTCACTTGGAAGGTAATTGATGTTGAGGGTGTTAAGAACGTGAGAGGGGTTGCTGGGCGCCAGGGTAAAGACGAAGGGGGGGCCGTGGCCCAGCGCCCACATGTCGTCGTCAGTTGCGGTAAGAAGACCCAAGAGGGAGGCAGGAGCGCCCTCAGTCACGTGGAGGAGGGTCGGGGGCAGGAGCCGCGGAGGACAGTCGTTGACATCGTCAAGAGTGATGGTGAGTGTGGCGGTGGAGGAGAGAGAGGGGTGGCCTTCATCCACAGCCACCACCCGTGCAACACCCACCCCCCCACCACCACCTTCACGGTCTAAGGCGCGCCACAGCCTCACACCCCCAACACCATCCACGGTCAGAGCTCCCCAACCTCCCAGGACACGATAGTCTACACGCTGTTGCTCCATCTGTGTGTGTGTGTGGGGGTATAATTTTTTTAGCATTATTGATATTGCGCACACGCGCATGTGTGTGTGTGTGTGTGTGTGTGAAGGGATATTGCCCGCAAACTTTCATAATGGATTTCCTGAGGCTTGTTTTTGTTATGATAAAATTGATCGAAAGTTGGTCACGAAAAACGTAAAAAGACATTTTTACCATATCTCAAATATCAAGCGTCACAAAAAGATAGAGTTTGGACCTAAGATTTCAGAGAGCACATACACGTAGACAAAATTTACCTTTAATCTACAACCCATGACTTTTGTGGTTAAACAAAAACAAACAAAATCTTATCCATCTAGATAAAAAATACCTGGGCTAGAGTAACATTAGTGAAACACTTACGTAACACCTGCCTTCCTTACTCACGCGGACAAGAGCACAAAAACGTTCAGTTAAATATCTGAGGACGTAAAATAAAATTTCAGGTCTTAAAAAAAAAAACTCATCCAGTACCCCTGCGTAAGTGTGAGAACAAATTGGTCCATCTTCTTTTAAGTATAAATATTCGCGAGTTTTATGTTTGTTATAAGGTTCATTTCTTTGATCTATGTTTTTATAACAACTTCTGTGTACGCAAGATAGATTATCACTATAATTCAAAAACAAAACTAGGGAACGTATTAAAGACAAGGCAAGTGGCGCGTCCCCCTCCTATCCTGGGTCACTATTGTGACTGCCACCCGCCGACCACCAGCCAATTATCGCTCTTGTCGCTTTTCCGCCAAGAGGATGTGGCTTTTGTGGCCGGTGGGAGGGATAGGAGGTGGGAAGGAGGAAGTGGAAGACTCGGGAAGAGGAAGTGTGGAGGGAAATAGGAAGAAAGTACGGGGAGAGAGGGGGGGGGGGGGAATCTGAAGCGGCGTCAGCGGTTTGTGGTGTTGGCAGAATGAGACCCTGGAATGGTAGGTGGCCTTTGAAGGAAGGCAGGTGTTGATGCTCCCAAATTATTTAATATACAACGTTAGAAGACAAAACTTACAAAATTGACAACGAAAGATCTTCACAGCTCCAAAGTTGTGAATTTTTAAAGAAGGTATTTTACAAGAATGACACAAGCTACAAGCAGAGAATTGTTCACTCAAGCACTCGAGAAACTGAATAGGTTACAGCACAAGCCAATAAAACCAAATCTTCCTAATACTTGAAAACTCGGCGACTGAAAATCTGTTCTGGCACTGTACATACTTTAAAATTACCACACAACACTCGTCTTACCACCAACACTAGTCTTACCACACAACACTCACCTCACAATACAACGCTCACCTCACAACACAACGCTCACCTCACCACACAACGCTCACCACACCACACAACGCTCACCTCACCACACAACGCTTACCTCACCACACAACGCTCACCTCACCACACAACACTCACCTCACAACACAACGCTCACCTCACCACACAACACTCACCTCACAACACAACGCTCACCTCACCACACAACACTCACCTCACCACACACAACGCTCACCCTACCCACACAACGCCTACCATTAACACACAACACTTCCACTTACCACATTAACGCTTCACTTTCACCACACAACACTCACTGCACCACATTAACGTTTGTCTTATACAAGACAGTGTCACCTTACTACACAACGCTCACTTACCCCCACAACGCCTCACCCACCACACAACGCTCAATTCACCACACAACGCCTACACCACACTAACGCCCACCCCAATACAACGCCTCCACCACCACACAACGCTCACCTTACAAGACAATGCTCCACCACCACACACTCCACCTTAATGTCAACGCTCGTTCCATAAGACAGCAAGGCTCAATTTACTCACACACCCACGCTCACTCACCACACAACGCTTCACTCACCACACAACACTCACCTCACCACAGAGCGCTCACCTCACCACACAACGCTCACCTCACCACACAACGCTCACCTTACCACACAACACTCACCTCACCACACAACGCTCACCTCACCACACAACGCTCACCTCACCACACATCGCTCACCTCACCACACATCGCTCACCTCACCACACAATGCTCACCTTACAAGACAATGCTCACCTCACCATCTAAAACTAGCCTTCATTTCATGATATTTTTCATGATTGCCAATTTTTTTTATTAAACTATCATGCAGAGTACCCTCAAGAACATAGATCAGATCATACTATGAGACCATTAAAGTTAACATCATTCAATAGTCACCATTAAACAAAACTACCATGCATTTCAATGCCACTTAATCTAGTTAAGCCTAGAATATTTACCTTTAAGCTTGAAACCACTGTATAGAAAACTGTGTAACTCCTTCACGACTGGATGCTACATTTGATATTTTATTTGGCTAACGCCAGACGATTATATTCAGCAGAGAGTTCCTTTACACAAGGGGTTAAAGAACCTCGAGCACTGATGAGAAGTTCACTAATTTGGAGATGGCTTTTAAGTAAATGAGGGTAAGGCTCACTGTCAATAATTGTGAGCAGTCTGGGTTAATCAAATACTCACTCTATCCCTTAAAGCTGCGGTGGTAGTTATGTATCAGTGCGAGGCGAGGGTAAGCGCTCGGTCTGACAGGGCAGCTAGTCTTGTATAACATGTGTAGTAGCTCAACTGAATCTTGTGGATCTTATGATACGTGTGAGTTTGTGTAACGAAATTTTTACGCGGTAATTCTATGATCAAGAATGTTGACCATAATATGTATTTGACTTTGCCATGTTCCCAGGATATTCATAATCTAAGTCCAAGAAAAAAAGTCTTACCAATAAGTCCTCTGTTGAAAACTGTTTCTGCTTCAACTACACTGCGGCCATCACACACACTCAAACAAACTATAAATATATATATATATATATATATATATATATATATATATATATATATATATATATATATATATATATATATATATATATATATATATATATATATATATATATATATTTGTGTGTGTAGTGAATCTCTCCTCTAAACAACTAGACAATGATACCTTGTGTGCCCTCGGCTATGGTTTAAGTTTTGATGGTTCTAACAAGGGAGTCGACAGTGTTGACATAGCAAGAGGATTTTGCAATTTGGAGAAATTCAGTAATTTGACAAGTGAAGAAGTGAACATGTGTAAAGGTTTTGTGTATGCATCTATGTCGAAGCCTTGTGTTCCAAACTGTCCAGAAAGATTCACCAAAGCAATCCAAGCCCTTAAGAAAAATAAGGATCTACATGTCACTAAAGCAGATAAAGCCAACACAGTAGTGATTTTAAACAAAGATGATTATATCTCTAAAATGAATAACCTTTTATGTGATACTACAACATATTCTAAACTCATAAATAATCCTCTCAACACAGTTAACACCCAGTTCAACAAAAAACTTAAGTCTCCATTGAGAGGCAAATCTACTCTCATTAAACATCTTGCTTCAACGTCCCCTCCACTGCCATACATGTACGGTGTAATCAAGACCCACAAGCCTAATAACTTAGCAAGACCCATCATTAGCTCAGTTGGGTCAATCTCTTATAAATATCTAAATGGTTAGTTTCTTTACTAAATCCCCTAGTTGGCAACATTTCTAACTAAAATATAAAGAATAATATGGATCTGGTTGATAAACTCAATAACTTACACATTAAGTATGATTTTAAACTGGTCAGTTTTGAGGTAACATCACTCTTTACAAAGGTCCCAGTTGATGATTTACTGGAGTTCCTCATAGATTCCGTGGATAATATTTCATTGCCTGTCTCGAAAGACGACTTCATCGAACTCATCAAATTATGTATTAAGGATTGTAAATTTGAATTCAATGGAGAATATTATGCTCAAAAATTTGGTATGGCAATGGGTAATCCACTCTCACCTGTATTAAGCAACCTATATATGGAATTCTTTGAAAAGAAACTATTAAGTAATATTTTACCACCTTCAGCAGTCTGGTTTAAATATGTTGATGATGAATTATGTCTCTGGCCATGTAATGAGGACCTAAAAGCTTTCCTGCCACAACTTAACAACTTAGCCCCCTGATCAAATTCACTGTGGAATTACAGCAAGACTGTAAATTGCCATTCCTAGACTGTGTGATACACAGCATATGTAACACTTTTAAGTTCAGTATTTATAGAAAACCTACTAATGTGTGTTCATACATTCATTATTATTCTGCCCACCATAATAGAGTCAAACAGTCAGTATTTTCAACAATATTTTTACGTGCTTTGTGAATTTGTAGTCCGGAATTCATTGATGAGGAATATAAATATATCTATAATATTGGCTCAAACCTTAAATACCCTAGATCTTTCATAGACAAATGCCTAAACATTACTAAGAAAACTTTTTATAGAACTCATCCCAAGCCCACCCATGACCACAAGAATATCTTAATATTACCATTTCACAAAAAATTCTCACACAATCCTTTACAACTAAAAACCTGGAACGTCAATGTGGCATTTAAAAACTCATGCACTGTTAAACAAATGTTAATCAAGAACTCCCCCAACAACACAATTGGTTGCATTTATAAAGTTCCTAGTAAGGAATGTAATATGTTTTACTTAGGCCAGACAGGTAAAGATCTTGTAACTAGAGTTAAACAACATAAATATAGTGTTAGGACAGGCCAGGAATCCAATGCTCTGTTTGTTCATTTGAGGGATAATGCCTCCTCAATATTACCTTGTATTTCAATTGATAGTAGGAACATCATAGAATCTAGTCTCATTAAACATACCGAAGCATTCAACATGAATTTGAGTAATGGCATGTACAAACTGGACAATTTTGTAATTAAGAAGATTTGTAACCAGGTGAGAAGGTTGGGTCACCTTACCCTCTGACCTGACTACCGACCGTTGCAGTGCTATTTAAAGATTTGTAGGGTCATTACCTAATACCTGACCATTGTGGACCTGGTCTCACCCTCCTCTGTATATATACACCTTGTTTTGTACTTCTCTTTAGTC